TGTATAGTAGCCACACATTCCAATTGTTTTGGTAGACTTTTGAGAATTTTGTGCATTTACTAATGTATACCCTTGTTTAGTAAGATAACTTTAGGATGGTTTTAGTTACATTTATGCTACCACTTTGAATTATTTTCTTTAGTTCCTTAAACTATTCTTTGTAGGGATGCCAGATCTATACTTGATACTGAATTTCTTATCCCCATCTATGATGACAGCTTCTACTCCCCTGATTTAAGCCATTGGAGTGGAAACTGGGCAGTGCTGAAATCACTATAAAGTTTTTTTCACTGGGGTCAGCATTTTACCTCAACACTCTTTTGATTTAAACTAGTTTCATTTTTGTCTTTTTTTTTCCTGTTCGAGTGGCATCCTACAAAGTAAACTCATCTCTAATACTCTATGTTCGTTAGGGAACTGAGGGTTCAGTATTCAAAGCTGCCTGTGGGAAGGAGATATTGAATCCTGAATGGATTTGAAAATCATTCCTGTACTTTTCATGTCACACATGTTAATGAATGATAAACAGAGGAAGCTTTATAGGCAAAATAACAGCATGACCTGGTGAACACAACTGCTTTTGTTTCCTATGTAAGTCCAGATAATTTTTATAACTTCCTTCTGAAGTGTTTTTGCAGTGACAGGAGCCTTAGGTCTTAGCAAAGGGAGATAACAGTGAGTATTATGGCACTGTTAGACATTTCTGTTAGGGAACATTGTTGTGTGAATGCTGAGTCTTTATTTGCTGTGGCAGGTAGACATTATCTCTTGAGGGAGACAATTCCAAGGGAAGATGGGCTCAAATGCTGATCTGTTACTTAAATTAAGATTTGGGTTTTTTAACCCAGCTGGAGTGTGTGTGATTGCAAGAAGCTGTTCTGCTTTGGTGCTGTAAAAACATTGTGCTTCTGTCATGATGACTTCTGCTGCTTCTCATCTCCACCCTCACAGCTTTGTGGGTTTGGGATCTGTGGATTGATAGAGGCACTTCTCTCCAACTCTGAGGAGTTCATAAAAACTCAGTCATCTTTAGTAGGTAAAGCATTATAATTTATTTCTAGTAAGAATGAAAGATTTCTTATTGTTTACTGTGATACACTTGTCATTAACTCGATAAAAGGAACTCTGCAATGAAAATTCATTTGTTTCCCATTACTATGTCAGCCATCCCAGGATAAAATCCAGCAGCTTTGTCTCTTCTACCTCTTACTGAGTATTGCATTGACCAAAGATTCTGATTCTGACCCCTGAGGATGCTCTTCCTTAGCTGTGTCTCTTAGAGATCTTCACTGAAAAATACGTTTAGTTCTCTGAAGGTGTGAAACAGAAGAGGGTTTTGCCAGGAACTAAGGTTTATGTTTTATTGCTTATATTGTATTATGATGTTTATGTTATATTAATGTGTGGTTTCACTAGCATCAGATTGTAGATGTTGGAGTTTTAACCAGTTTACTTGAAACAAGGCTTTGCTGATTTTTTTTCTTTTGGCTTCTTATCTCTGTGTCTCACACATGTATGCACACACACAGAGGTTAATTCACATTCGATTAGGGGTCCCACTTTTCTATTTGCAGCCTTATTGTCTAATTTTGGTGCATACTCAAATGTTATCAATACTTGAGGGAAAAAAAGGAGAATTCCCCTTCAAATCCCCAAGAGAATTCAGTGACTGCTTGTCCTCCTTGCCGCCACACTCAGCTATTTCCTGCGTGTGGCAGTAATGGATCTGCAGAAATCCCCAGGTCAGAAGTGAAACCAAGAGCCTGCTCCACCTATGCTTAGCCCTGCCCCCAAGCCAAGAGTATCTATCTAAAATAGCAAGATGTTTGTAATGAAATGTAAATCCACTGTGTTTTCTGAGAGCTGAAGCATCTCCTCTCCCTCCACTTTTTTGCTGATGTTGCGGTTTCACTGGGATTATGTGAAGGGGTGTAAGAGACAATAGGGGCATGAAAAGGTTGAGGCTTGAGATCAAACCTGAAGGCCAGTCTCTTCTAATCTGCATTCCTGGGAGTGCCATGTTTCACCCAAGTTCTCCCTACATCCCTGCAACACTTTGCCCGGGATCTTATCCAGGCTTCTGCCATGGGAACTGCAAATGCAGTGTTGGATTTTGGCAGCGTGTTTTCCTGGCAGCCATCAGGGATGACTGGTGCAAATGGAATTGCTGCTCCTTTTGAAGGATCGCGTCACCGAGTGAGCTGATGCTGCTGCGAGCAGAGACCTTCCATACTAAACCCTGTTAAAACCACGCTGGCAGTGAACAAAACAACACTTATGCAATAGTCTGATTGCTGAAACTGCTGAAAAGGAAGTAAATACCTCCCTTGCCTGTGTTCTGAGGCAGGATATAGGATGAGTTCTCTATGTTGCAGGATGGAAACTAGTGGTTTTTCATGACTCATCACCTTGTCTACTGAGCACAAAAAGTCAAAAGGCCATATTTTAGGATCTTGATTGGGATCTTTGTATATAGTAAAGCACACCCCACACAAGGGGATTCAGGTCTTCTCCAGTGACCAAGACCATCACTAGGGATGCGGTAAAGCTGAGCCTCAGTCTCTTATTGATTTGAGTAGCTCCAGTTCCAGAAGAATACTCCAGTTCCTGGCCTGGCAAAGTTACTCTAAAAAAATTAAGAATCTATCTTGTTTTAGACAAATTCCAACCTCTCACTTGAGAAGTTGTGCACACAAGACCCAAAGGCCCAGGAGGCAAAGTTTTTGCTGGAACGAGGGTTCAGCCTGTGCAAGCTGAGCTTGTGCAAGGCGAGTGTCAACTCCTGTCTCCTGTGTGTCCTCTCTACCAGCTACTCTTGTTCCCCAAGGAAAAAAATCTCACTCTGCATTCTGAAACCACCTCCTTTGCTCTGTGAAGGGCTTGTTATTCGCCTGCCATTCCACTTGAGCTGCAGAAAACTGAGGGGACAAATACAGGAGCTAGGAAATAATCCCTTCTGCTGCTCAGAAGCTGGGCACAATGTTGTGCAAACACTCCTGGAAATTTACAGTGAGGCAGAGCTTAGGGAAAGATACGTAAAAAGCAAAATATCTGCTAGGCATCCGGGGTTTGACTTGCTATGGGAGGAAGTGATAGCAAGGAAAGGAGAAAGGCTTAGGTCAGCTTGTGGGATTTTTCAGACTTCCGTGTCTAAATATAGATGGTTATGTAGCCTTAGTCAGGCTTTTCAGCTGATTGCCTTTTAATTTATGTTTTTATAAATACAGTGTATAATTATAGATTCATATGCTTGCATACTTATTTATTATATATATTTCAGCTCTGTTTGAAAACAGTCAGTTCTGACTTGTAGCTTTCACTTAAAAATTTTTTGTGGATTAAACGAAATGTTTCATTTGATGCAATTCACTATGAGAAGTCATTGCAAATATTAATATGAGGTATCTAGTAATATTGAAAATTATACATTAGTATTCATTGTAGAAATAACATAAAATATTAGTAAATATCAATAAATTCGTATTAAAAATAAACTTTATCTATCTACCTGGTATTAACAGAAAAGATACTAAGTCCACCTAGGGAATTGTTAGGCATCAGCAACTGGGCTTTACTTGCCAGAGGAAGGCTGCATTTATTACTTAATTGCATTTGCCTTTCATGAGTTTGGCCGGCAGCATTTTCTGACTGTGTAAGTAAGATCTGGCAGCGGCGGGAGGAAACACATGGCGGGTTTTGAGAAGTTTGTGCTGGGAACTTTTGATTAAATTAGAAGTGGTCAGTGGCCATAACACACGTCACACGTTCATGTCCGACTCTTGTAAGTGAGAACTGTCAGAAAAACTGTAATGTGTAAATCTGCTGATCCATTGCATCTCAAGCTGCTGGACAGGTCAGATCTTACTGTTCACCAAAACTTTGAGGGGCAACAGCAGGAAGGAACAGAGGGTGTATTCAGTCAACTTATGGATTCAGATCTCAATCCAGAGTTGCTTTGGTCAAGAGGCCAGTGGGGGTCAAACCCCACCTCCCACCCTGGGGCTCGGAAGATGGAACTCCACAGGGAACTCATGGTATTTTGGAGTCCTCCATTGCTCTCACCATGTATCTCTGGTCTGGTGCCTGCTGCTAGAACCTGCTGTCTCAGAAATTAGATTTATATGGCCAGGCATCATCAGTGTGTAGCAAATCACTGAGACAAAACATTTCTAACACCCTTTTGACTGTAGAAAGAAATTAACAGTGAATCAATGGGAATTGACACTGAAACCAATGTTTAGTCGTATAAGCATTCCCCTAGACCCTTAAGCAGTAACATAAAATAAATATGAAAGCCGCAAAATCCTTTTGCAAAGCAAAAAAATGTGGTCTGTTATAGTGTTAGGTAGAACTAACATGAGACACAAAAAAAATTGGCCAAATATTTCCTGTTATATTAAAATAAATAATGTGTTCTTTTCTTCAGAAATATGATTTCTAAACTTCTTTTGCTATATATGTGTATACGTATCTCTCTGCCTGCGTCTTTCTGTCTTTAAGTGGAAACTCCAGCACAATAAATAGAAGTAGCACAGGTGATGTAGTATCTCTAATTTTAGCAGCTTCCTTGTGAAAGCCATGAACTCCTAGTCGTTACCCTGAGGCTGGCAGTGAGTTGGAACTGCTGATGAGACAGTGAAGCACCTCGCAGGAGGTAGTTTAGGTGTCAGCCCGTGCTGTAGGTACACCCAGTCAAATACTGTTTAGCTAAAGACACTTAGAAATTCTCTTTATTCCCTGATCTCATATTCCTATTTTACCCCTTAGCACCATCCCAAGATCTCTCTCCCGTGTGCTGCTGGCCAGCCTAGAATGTCTTAGTTTCATAGGAGCTTTGTAGTTTTTTCCTGTGTCATTCACTTTGGCTGCTTCCTGCAGGGAATTTCACCTGGTAGTTTGTCGCCTAATCTGTGAGTCTCCTGAGGTCTTTCTGCAGTTCTTTATAGTTGAGCCTTGTCTTTCCATCATCATCAGAGAACTTCAGCTCATGGCAAGTGACCTTTCGAGACAACTTGTGCAACTGCCAAACCAAATGGGACTCCACATAAAGTGGTTTAGGAATCCATGGGCGATGTTCTTTTATTGATAAAAGCTGATCTTTTCATTCTGCACTTCATCTCTTATGTATTCATTTCCAAGACCTCTTTCTTAGCCTCATTATTTCTAATGTTTGGTGAGGGCTGTGAAAGGATTTCAGAAAGACAATATGACTCTATCTGTGGGGCCTGCCACATCCCTAGGCTTGTTGTCAACAACTATAACAAGTGCATGAAAAATTACTTCCTTCCAAGCTACACAGATACTTCCTTATTATGTGTTTATCCATGTGTTTGCTAATTCTGTTTCTGCTTTAAGTAAGGCCATTTAAGGGTAACTAATTTAATCTTGTTTATTCTCATCCTTACAGCACTAAAACACATTCATTAAGCTTGAATCCTTGATCCATCACAGACAGAAGTTTAGAGATAGACACAGCAAAGGAAATATGGAGATTTAGCAGCTATCTCAGGAAAAGAAAAATAATCAACTCTAGTAATGTAGCAGAGGTGAGGGGTCTGTTCCTTGGCATTCTCATCAGCGTTTCCTCTCATTTCATGTCCTTGAAGAACTCCAAGGTGTATCTTTCCTTGACTTCTCTCTGACTGGTGGCTCAGTATTGTCCCTGGCCCTGTAATTAGATGAAATATAAAGTGAATTCAGAAATTTATTGAAGAAACAATTACTGTTAATACAAGCTACAGGGAGAGCAATAAATGCTCATGAGTTGTTAAGGACTTATTTTTACTGTATCAACCGATTGACATATGTGCAAAGTCAAAAAAAATCTGTGTTCCTCCAAGAACTGCTCCAACAGAAAGGACTTGCACGTGCCTTTGTGCAAAGTAGGGATTTGACTGTGCCTGTTTACAGCAGTGAAAGCTCTTGGAAATGCCAGCTGCATGTCTGAATTATACCCAAAAAGTGGAAGGGAGTCTTTCAGAGTTTGATTTTTGGAAGTGTCAAACACACCCCAAATGTGCTGTCTCTCAGCAGAGGTTTAGGGGCATCACAGTTGCGGCCTTTTGGGTGGCTTAATACAACAGAAAGATGTCAAAGCTAGGACAATATTTTACTCCTCAGGCATGTAGAAGTATTGGTTTAGAGAGAACTGTGGGAAAGAATTACTAATGCCTGAAGAGGGTGAACATTTGCATGCCAAGAAATTAAATGTGCCTTCTAAAACTAGCTCTTCACCGAAGGTGTTCCAGTAAAGGAAGCAGCTTACCTGGCCAGCAGAGCCTTTACAGTGAGCCTCACCCAGGGCGCAGTGGGTTCCAAACACACTTCCCTGCCGTCCTTCAGTGTGGCTCTGCCCAGAGAGAAACAGAAGTTAGGGCCAGGGGGGCCTCCCACCCTCCTAATGGTTGGAAATGTCTCTTAGCCATTAAGTTACTGAAGGACTTGTTTGGTTTTGTCTTATTTGTTTGGGGGTTTTTATGAATGGTGTCAAGATAGTTGTTTATACTGTAATCATATAATGAGCCAAATGAATTCTCTATTTGATTTCTGTTCTCTGTGGGGTCATAGTCTAGCAGACCTTTCAGGAACTTAATTTTTTGACCAAACCTGGCTGAAATTACCAATTCCTAGTGAGGTGGAGCTGGATACCACACTGTACTGCACAGAGGGTATGATTGTATTTGCTTAAGAAACCACAGTGAAAGAGCCCTTCTGTTTACTGAATGCATTGGTCCAGTTCGTGTGACCAGTTCCTGGTGTGGTTTTAAATGAAGCTCACTGTATCTTTTACTTTGTGCCCACATGGAATGTCATCCAAATTCTGCACTCCTCACACAGGGAGTGTGCACTCTGTGTGCAGTTCTGACACAGGGAATAACTCACGGCCTTTCAAACTTTGCCTCATGCAGACCAAGTCAGTGGAATTTGTTTGAATTCATCTCAAGAGCATCAAGATTATATCTTTGATTGATTCTTCGTTGTCTAAGTTACTAATTGGGTGATACAGCACTGGATGTGCTGTGGGGATCTAATTCTCTCCTCTGATGTTGGTGATAATTAAGATGTGAGCAGAGAGAGTTTTAAAAAGCTGTCTGGAAGCTGACTGTAACATTGGCAGGGAATTAGCTCGTTCCTTTGGATAGAGGCCCTAATTCCTGACACTTGGTTTCTCTGAGGCTTCACAAGGGAAATATTCCACCCAAAGTATGTAAGTAACTGGAGTGAGAAATGCAGATTCAGTTCCTCCTGTTGGAAGCAAGATACTGTTTAGCAAAAGTGCTCACATGATTTCCACATTTTTGCAGTGAGGTCCTCTTTGGCTCAGTCTCACATCCTGAACCGTCTTGGGAGGGATGAACGTGGAATGAGTGCTTATGCACTGGCATTGGGAGCCTTTTTTGTTGGTCTTCTCCAGGGCCTTACCTGTGGAACAAAACTCACTTATGTCTAAGTACATGAACAGTCTCTTTATTTGCTGCTATGAAGCAATGTGTATTCCCTTCTGCCAGATTTACTCTTGTTCCTCAGCACTCTGATTTGCTGGATACTTGGATAAAATTAACTGCAACTGCACAAAATCAGCAGCCACATTTTTAGAGCTGTTGATGTACAGGTGCATTTGAATTTAAAGCTGGATCTCTAAGTGAAAATACTTAGGTGTTTTCATAGTGCCTTTGTACCTGGCCAGGTTCTACCTAAATTGCATCACTTGAACAAGTGGGTTAACATCATTAACTGTGTACACATACTGTTTATTAGTTTCTACCATGATCATCTGCTCATGTTCTTTATTCTTTCCTGCAAATGGGACAATTCTTGCTCTGAGGAAGCACTATCAGCAACCTGCCTACCAAAAATAAAATCACAAATAGGAGAAAATTGTTACTTGGAAAAGAAGAGGTATATGGACATATTTAGGAAAAAAGGTCTTGTCTTAAATCAAACACTTCTTAAAATCTGGAGAAAAGCATATATTATGACACAAGAATAAACTCATTTACTGACAGAAAGCATCCTAACAGGTACAAATGATTCCTGTGACTGCTGAATGATGGTTTATTGAAGATGCAGAAAGCCATCATGGACGTATCTGAGCCCTCTTGCATTTGCATATGTATGTTTATTAATTAGTTACCTGAGTTTTAAGAAATAATTTTCTTACCTTCTGACCCTGCCATTGAGACCAGATAGAGAACCAAAGCGACCGCAACAGATTTGCCATCCATTGCTGTGCAAAGTTTTCTTGACAGATGTCCCACTCTGGTGCTGTTTCCCACCAGGTTTTATACCTGAGGGTGCACTCCCAGCAGCCTGAGTGCTGACCAAATGGGTGCTGCACACACAGGTTTCCTAACACATGAGAGTGTTGCATAAGAAATCCAAATCTCTGTGCAGCCCATTCAATGGCTCTTCAAATTTCCCTAACTTCTGTTGCTGTTTATTTTAAATTATTCCTTTAAATTGTGGTTGTTATCCATCATTTGCTGTTTGCACTTCTTCATGGGATATTAGTTTTAATCAGCAATGCTGAGCTTGCACTTGGAAATTTATACAGCATTACCAGATATCCCCCTGAGCCAAAATAAAGGGACTTTTTTCCTCCTCTCTGAATATAGAATTTCTGTTCAGCTCTTTGTGTTATATTTAAGTGTCTTGTGCAAAACCTTTCACCCAACATAATTACAGTAACTTTTCATCCCAGTTTTACTATATTTTGATATGAATCCAATGAAGTTATTTAGCCAGTATCTTATGAAGGCAAGACATACCTAATGTCTATTGTTCTCTGAAAGGATTTTGTAATTTTCAGTGTGGCTAAAGGGATTTAGATGCTTAATTCTGTACTGAAAAGCTTCTCTAATCACTGTGGAGGAAATGATGCACTTAAAATGACTGAGGCATTATCACCAAAGGCACTTAAGCTCTTCTGAAACTTTCATCTGTTCTGATTATGAAAAGGAAAAGTATCTGGCAGAAAGGGACGTAATGACACCTTAAAATAAGGTTAAAATAAGGTTAAAATAAGGTTAAAATAAGCACTTAGGAAGTTGCTTGTTTTTCTTTCTAACCTCGTGCATTTAGAATAATCACAGGTGTTTAAGGCAGCAGATAAACACATGTCGTAAGTGACTTCTGTTAACACGGAAGAACAGCCCATGTCTGACAAAGGCAGTCACTGAGCCCGAAGAGCCCCAGTGCTCCCCTTAGCAGTCTCCAGGAACACTGAAACACATTTTTGGAAAGCGGCAGGGTGGTTGTTGCCTTCCTGAGAAAAGGTGTTCCGTGACTGCACACGGAACAGAGATGTGATACGGTGTCATTTCTAGCCAGCCTCGGAATCACGTCTCACCAGTGAGTGATGATAACCTATAGAGGAAGAGGGTATGCAGGTGACCTCCTTGGCTTCTGGGAGCACAGCCATTGCTGACATTTTGGACAAGAGTTTCTGAGAAGAGCCCTTCCTTGGCCGTGGTTCAGCTCCCAGTAACTTGACTGGGATTTTGCTCGTGGCTAAGGTTAGATGTGTTGTATCTCTAAGGCACAAAAACTGGTGCCAGTCCTTTAGGATACACTCGTACTTTTACGGCCATGCAGATCAAGTGATTCTTCCTCACCTCTCCCCATTCTTGGCTGATGTATCTGACATGCTTATCTCCAAACTGGATCTCTGAGAGAAGTCAGCTTGTAAAAATCCCTCAGGAAACAGGGAGGCTTAGAGTTGTAAGACAAGTCTGAACAAAACCTGTCCCCTTGGGAAGCTTTGACTCCTTCCCATTCTGAGGTCTGGCAGGCTGTGCAATGCTGTGCTGTGGGACAGAGGCAGATATGGAGACAGGGAGCAAAGCATGGTCAGAATGGTTGTCCTCTTGCACAAGAGCTCGCTCAAACAGTGCTAAAAACTCCCTTTATGTCTTGCACCATGAGCAAACATGAGCTGATTGTCCAGAATATGGAGTGGCTCCTTGTTGGGAAAGACCGAAGCTAAACAAATATCAAAGTATTTGTTCAACTTTCCCATTTCTCAAGTGTTCGCTGCTCATATTCCAACATTCCTGTGTAAATTGTTGTGTCATAGGTAGATAGGAGTCCATACAATTGGAGCTCTGTTTCTTAGGATTTCCCCTTATTCTCCTCACTGGAATTAGGGAGGAGGCTCAGTGACTTCCTCAACATTTATCAGATTTCCCTGTTTATTTAAGTTAATGAAGCCCCTTGTTTATTGTCAGGTTCTCAGCTACTGTGCTGTTAGAGCACTACACTGCTATGGCCTTGCAGTTTCTGTGATTAACCAGTATTTATTCATTACTACCTGACAATTTTATCATCCAGACCTCTGCAAACACTGAGTCTACCAAGAAAAGAGGAAGAAAGTAGATGATTTTTATAATTCCTCCCATTGTAAATTATCTGCACTCCCCAGAGACAGCAATTTGCTGTTGTTGCAAACAACACAGACACCACAACTCAGACACCACTTGCCCTTCTGGGAACCCGTTACATGATACAAACTGAAAGGAAATGCTTCCTCTTTTTTCAGCTCTCTATAAGGAAATTAATAAAACACAGTATTGAAGTGAAAACATTTCAACGAGTGTTTATTAGGCACATGAACATAAATAGTTCCATAAATAAATAAATAAATAAATAAACATTTAAGATAAATTACATTCTTATGCAAAAGGAAATAAATATGCAAAAATAAATAGAAATATATGTATAAATAAAGTGCTTTTTTCTAGACAAGACATGGACTTAAAATATATGTTTATACCTTCACAACACTAATTCACTGTAAATAATATCTTGAAAATGATGGCACAAAACCTGATGTGTCAGAATTTTGACATCCCAATTCTGCAAGCTCCCCTTTTTGGCCAGTAGCCCACTGTGAGTGGCAGTGACCCAGGTCCAGTTGCTGTTCCCTGTCCATGCTTTGCTAAAGAGAAGGAGTTGCTGGTCTTATCCTAAACTGTTAGCAAAAAGGTAGGAGTCATTTAGTGAAAGCTCTGCTGAGCATGCATGCACTGCACTGTTCCAGCTGTGTTTAGCAAAATTTAATCTAGAATCGTCTCTGTACCCTTTCACAAGCCATTTTTTTGCCTGCTTGTCAGGGTGTCACTCTTACATAAAGACTTAAAGTACTGTTGTCAACTAACTACAAAGCAGGAATCCATATTCTAGATGCTGTTAAAGGGTGAACATAGGAGGCAGGAGAAGGGGAGCTGCCAGAAGCTGGATGAGCGTCTCTCCTGTTTTTGTCTTGCTGGACGAGTTAGGACATTTTTCTTCTATGTCTTAGGACACTGTCTCAGGTTTGGGGTTTGCCCTGGAAAGAAAGAAGATGGAACAGGTAAGACTTGCTGGCATCAGCTGAAATCCACCACTTTGTGCTTCTGTGCCCAGGCTCCTGAAAAACTGTAACTGAACCTGAGGGACACTGGTACATCATGACCTTTTCACAGATATTCACTGGCAGTGGACTTCCACAGTTTGATGCTTCACTTGGCAAATGAAGCCTGATTTTTTCCTCCCATGTAACTAAATGCCATTAGTTTGAAAAGCTGATTGTTACTTTCTACCACTGCAAGCAAGAGAAAACCAATCAGTGAATGCCTGGATTTCCTGAGTAGTTGTGCTGCTGGTTCTCAAAATGCTTCTGTTTTAGGAGAGATGAAGGTTACATTCCAGTGGGATGTGTGGCACAGTAAGGCTTCAGTAGTTAATGCTATAATTAAAGCTCAAAGCAATCACAGTGTTTGTCACAATTAGTGAACACAAACAGTAGTAGGTGCCTGAGGAGACAGAATTTTGGAGCACTGCACACCGTATGTGTCTGGTAGCTCAATTAAAATACCAGTTTTCGATAAGTTGTGCTCATTGAGAAGGAATGACTCACTTGTCTAGAATTGCCTTGATGATCAGCTTCACCCAGGGAGCAGTGGGCTCCAGGCACAATTCTCTCCCGTCTTTCAGGGTAGCTCTGCAACAGGAAAAAAAGGAAGGGAAAAGGGCTACTTAGTGAACTCCAGCGCAGTGTCACTTTTGTCTCACAGCATCATTCTAGGTATACACTGACGTGTTCCCCTTTTAAGCTCTATCAATTGAGGCTGTAGTCTAGCATAGTTTTGTCTTTTAAATGGTTTCATATCTTCTCATATCTATTTGTTTGATACATTAAACCATTTGCAGGACTCTCCCTCTTTTCAAAACTACTTCTTTTCCCTCCCCAACTTGCTTTGTATTTAACTGAAGGGCTAAATCTTTTCATCTTGATTCAGAAATTGTACTGTTACTGGTTACAGTAAAAGTTCTGGACAATGACCAGATTATATGATTTCTATGCTAATGCTGTTTTTTTCATTGACTTGAGTAGAAGGGTGATCATTTTTTTGACCTAGCCATTGAAGCTGATGTTTTGATCACTTGCCCCGAATGGCTCTGTGCATTATCTTTTCACGTGCTGGTGGAATTCAGAGTTTTAGAAAGTTATCTGCTGCCTGGTGGCCGTGAGTCTGCTGTTCTGCACTCTCAGCAGCTGCCCCAGCTGGCTGGTTACATCACTCAGAGAACGCTTACACCGTCCTGAGCACAGAATCTGCTTCCTTCGTGGCAAGTAACTGTGAGGGTTTTGCAAAAGCACTTACATAACTTCAACATTCTTGCAGTGAGGTCCGCTGGGGCTGAGGTTCACATTTTGGATGAACTTGGGATGGATGAACCTGGAATGGGTGCCTATGCACTGGCACCGGAGTTCAATGGCTGACCGTGCCAGGGCCTTACCTGGAAAACAAAAACAGGTGGAGTGTTTCACTGTTTCTGCTGGAAGCACAACATGTTCCTTTTGCTGACAGCATTAGGAGAGTTCTTTGCTGCACTGGTCGGACAGCACAGTCTCTCCCTGTCAGCATTTGCCCTGGCCATCAGTCAGGAGAGCTTTAGGAGGGGTTCCTTTACCTTGTGTTCCCACCGCTGAGATCAGGAGCAGAGTCAGGACAGCAGCCACAGCCTTGCCCATCATGATGCTAGAGTGTGTGCTCCTCGAGTCGCCTGGGCCTGGTTCTGTGGTGGGTGAGCTCGGGCAGCTCCTGGGATGGTGAGTGCCTGTGCTCTGGGGCCGCCCGTGTTTATATCCTGCCTGGCTGCCCTGTGCACTGCAACATCACAGCCATGGAAACTCCGAACCTGCGAGATGCTGCTGTGCAGTGAGTCACAGGTGAGTGGGTAAGCCCCTTTCCCTTCATGACCACAAC